CACCAGGAGATCCTTAGCAGATATAGCTTCAATTCCTGTGGGGCTATATCAAAGTTCACGGAGCTTCTGCCAGAGGACTCGATGGCAGAGTTTTGCCTTGGTGGTAGAGAGTAAGCTTGTGGTACGGGCTTCGCTACAAGCAGCCCTGGATGTTGCCGATTCGGCTACTTGGACCATGGGTTCAGCAGTAGCCATGAGAAGGAGCTGCTGGCTGCAGGCATCAGGGCTCTTGAATGAGGTCCAACAGACCATCCAGGACCTCCCATTTGAGGGCTCGACCCTCTTCTCTGAGAAAATGGACTCGTGGCTTCGTAGTCTTAAGGACTCAAGAGCCACTCTCAATTCCCTTGACCTTCATACCTCGGCAACGCAACGGAGGCATTTTAAGTCCCAGCCTCTGCCTCAATTCTACCAACCTCAGAATAGGCAGGACTATTCTAAGATGCATAATGGAAACCACAGGAGGAGGCTTCCTCCTTCATCTCAGGGCTCTGGGCAGGTGAAACAGCCCTCTGGACAAAAACAAACCTTTTGAAGGTGCACCCAAGGGCGACACACCAGTTCAAGCACCGGATCCAACTATCCAATCCTTTTCCTGCTGACTGTCCCACTTCTATCATGCGTGGGCCCAGATGACGACAAATAGCTGGGTGCTCCGCATGTTAGAACTGGGATATTCTCTCCAGTTCAGCTCCCCCCATCCCTCCCACCCTCCTTCTCTGGACCCTCTTCAGGGACCCCTCTCATGATCATCTTCTAATTCAGGAGATGCAGCAGCTCCTAAGAGCAGGAGCAGTGGAGGCGGCTCCTCAGGAGCTAAGGGGCAAGGGATTTTACTCCCATTATTTCCTAATCCCGAAAGCCAAAGGTGGTCTCAGACCTCTCCTAGACCTGCCAAACCTCAACAAGTTCATGAAGAAGCTGAAGTTCCACATGGTTTGTTTGGCCTCCATTATCCCTTCTCTGGATCTGGGGGATTGGTATGCAGCCCTCGACTTGAAGGATGCATACTTTCATATATCCATAACCCTGTCTCCCAGAAGGTTTCTCGGATTTGTGGTGAACCAGAATCACTATCCGTTCACTGTCCACCCCTTCAGTCTGTCAGCAGCATCTTGGGTGTTGCCCCCGTGCATGGCAGTCGTTGCCACCTTCTTGCAGAAGCGCCAGGTGCAGATGTTTCCATACCTCAATGACTGGCTGATCAAGGGCCACTCCAGAACACAAGTGGAGGTGCATGTAAGCCCAATAAGATCAACTTTCAACGAGCTTGGCCTACTATGGAATGTGCAGAAGTCAACCCTGTCCTCCACACAGAGGATAGAGTTCATAGATGCAGTGTTGGATTCCAGACAGGTGAGAGCGTTCCTACTGGAATCACGATTTCAGACCCTGTGCAACGTCTTACAAGACCTCAGACAGTTTCCTACCACCACAGCAAGGAATTGCCTGAAGCTCCTCAGTCACATGGCCACCTGTACTTATGTAGTGTAGCATGCCAGACGGAGACTCCAATCCCTTCAGGTGTGGCTAGCCATCGGGGTATTGACTAAACCGGGACAGTCTAGACAAGGTAGTCACCCTTTCCGGGCTGGTTCTCAAGTCTCTCCTATGGTGGCTCAACCCGCAAGTTCTGTGTGCGGGGATTCCCTTCTGCAGACCTCAACCATCACTTTCTCTGGTCACGAATGTGACAGTGATGGGGAGGGGAGTGCATCTCGGGGAATTCAGGACTCAGGGCCTCTGGTCCTAAGCAGAGCTCTCACTTCACAGCAATGTCAGAGAGCTGAGGGCAATCCGTCTGGCATGCCAGACCTTCCAAGCAGGCATCTTCGGCAGCATTCCTGGCCCAGGTTCTGACCCAGGAAATCTGTAGGGCTGCAACATGGTCCTCAATCCACACTTTTACCTCTCACTATGACATTACCCAGCAGACTAGGGACAATGCAGCCTTCAGCAGAGCGGTGCTTCAATCAGTGAACCCATGAGCTCTGACACCGCCTCCAAGTTCCTGATTGGGAGTCACCTAATTGGAATCAACATGACCAAGCACTTGAAGAAAAACAGTTACCTACCTTTCGTAACTGACATTCCAAGACTCACCCACCTACCCCTCTGTCGGAGCAAGAAGGAACTGAAGAGGTGGCAGGTCGGCAGGACCCCATATATGGTGCCATGGAGGTGCAACTCCAGGGGGCACCTGAACCAACCCCACAGGTACCACTAGGGGAAAAACCTTCTGGTTATTGTGCATGTGGCACGCACACATCTAATTGGAATGGACATGAGCAACGTATCTCTAAGAACAACAGTTACAAAAGGTAGGTAACCATTTTCTCTCTGGCCTTCTTGCACTATCTATTCAGTCTCCCTTACTGCTTCTTCTCCATCCCAACTTACTCACTCAAAACCAAGGCTGTGCCTTGCATCCTGCACTCGGCTCCCTGCATCACGTGGCATGGTGGAATGAGGAGGAAGAGCGGTGTTAGATGGGTGTTCAAAAAGTCATCCTCAACTGTAGAAAACCCTCCACCAGGATGGCCTATTCACTGAAAATCACTTCCATTTCACTGTGGTCACTAGCCTGAGGATTGCTTGGATTCTATCCAGGACATTTTGGAGTACCTGCTGCACCTTCAGTTGTTGGGGCTTGTGTTTAGTTCATTGAAAGCTCATCTGGTAGCAATTATTGGCATTTTATCCCCCCATTCAGAGAAGATCAGTCTTCTCCAATGCCATGGTATCAAAATTCTTAAAAGGGCTCCTTCATCTACATCCCTACGGCCCGGGAGCCAGTTCCTCTGTGGGACCTTAACTCAATCCTTGCAGCCCTAATGGGATCTCCATTCGACCCTCTGGCATCTTGTCCCTATTTGCTGTTGTGTTAGAAAACTGCATTCCTGGTAGCAATAACATCCACATGGAGAGAGAGAGTTGCAGGCTCGGAGAGTGAGAGAGTCGCAGGCTCTGAGAGCAGAGCCTCCTTATACACAGTTCTCCAAAGACAGTGATTTTACAGCCACTTCCAAAATCTTTGTCTAAAGTGGTTTCTCAGTTTCATTTGAACCAGGTGGTCTATTTACCAGTATTCTTTCTTAAGCCGCATTCATCTATAGATAAGCAGCATCTACACACCTTAGATGTCAGGCAATGTCAAGCCTTCTATCTGGACAGGACTAAACTGTTTTGTGCCTTGCCTCATTTGTTTGCGTCATATGTAGATCACATAAAGGGTCAAACAATATCTTCAGAGATGACGTCCAAATGGGTAATATCCTGTATCAGGACTGCATATGAAATAGCTTAGTTTATACCCCCACCACAGGTGCAAGCAATGCCCATAGCATTCCTCAGTGACGTTTCCATATTGGACTCAGGGCTGCTATGTGGGTGTTACATTCATGAACCATTATGCCTCAACCGCATCTTCCAGGGCGGATGCAGGCTTTGGTAACGTGGTCCTTCAGTCCTTATTTAGGTAGACTCTGAGCCCTACTTCCAGGGCAGTGGGAGGTGTACTGCTTGTGAGTCACCTAAGTAGAATGCATGTCTGCATCTACTCAAAGAAGAAAGTTACTTACCATAACTGGTTCTTTGAGATGTGATGCAGACTTGTATTCCTCAACACATCCTCCATCCCCTCAGCATTGGAATCTTGTTTCTGGGCATTCGGTGCAAAGGAACTGAGGGAGGGTCGGGACAGTGCTGCTTCATGTAGCCAGGGGAGGGGCTATGGCCATGGAGCATAAGCGCTTCCCCTTTATGGGTGCTGCTAGGCAAACTCCAGCTCCAGTGAGCGGGGTGTGCACACACTTAAGTGGAATACATGTCTGAATCACATCTGAAAGAATCACAGTTACAGTAAGTAACCGTTTCCTGTGGCTATCAGTATCTTCCTTGTTTCTCGTGTCTTCTGGAAGTGGTTTGCGGTCTTTCTCAGCCCTTACCTGAAGGAACAGTGTTGAATCTTTAATGAAATCTTCTCTTTCCACTGTTTGTTAGGCATTCAAGTTAAATAAGTTTTAACAATAACAATATTTTAAACAGTCTGATTAATATCCCTCCCTCCCTCCCCCTCTTGGGAACATTTTTCTTTTAATAACAAGGATGTCCTAAATGTACTAGTTCTCCAGTCACCGATATATTTTTTAGGAAAAGGGTAAACTAGAGCTGAATTTCTAAGGTGATGACAAGCAAGAGAAAAACTTTGTTGAAAAAACACTTTCAGGCATAAAGAAGCAAGTCACCTTTAACAGAATTTAAAGTATTTTTTCCATCACTTCAACATTAATAAGAAAGAGAATTTACAAGTTTTAAGTCATTTACAACCTCTGACATAGTTAATTATTGTGTTTCCACGTTCCTGGTTTCAAGTGACCTGATTATCTTAAGGTAACTTTCCTTTGCATCCAGCCTTCCTTATGTTTAATTTTCTGTTATATAAGTTACAGGGACCAGGCACAAATAAGCAAAATAAAGCCATTGTTCCCATGATAATCTAGGTTGATCTGGTTGACTATATCAGCATTTCTTTGGTGGCTCTTGAAGAATTTAAAGATTCGTATGAAAAAAAATTAGTTGAGGAAAGAACTTTCCAAATAGTGAACCAATAGGATGCTATCCTACTGAGTCTACAGACAGACTAAAGCAATATCTTTATTCCATTCATATCAATTCATTGTTGATTCTGAAGCCTAATTAAAAAAAACTAAATGTCAAATTTTAACCATTTCACTGCTGATCATGTTATAGAAAACTCCAACTAGCTTCTTTTGGATAGTAGGTATACCTTGTGATTGCGTCAGCCTGGGACTATAGGCAAAGTCTTGAGTCTTTCTTTTTTCACCAACTGACTCCTCATGTTAACGTCATAGATTTACTAACATACTTTCAAAATACAGTATTGTTTCTAATGGAAATGAAAGCAAAGATGTGCGTGGAAGTAACATGCTGCTTAGCAAAGTAGTAGAATTAGTTCTTTTTGCTTTTGTACTCCACAGGATCATACAGAAATACAACTCAACTCAGAAGCTATACAGAAAAGATTTGCATCTTAGCTGGGCATTTTAATAATTACTGCACTTTATTTAGCTTGCCTTCTGCTTCAGCAAACAGTCCTACTTGCAGAACAACCACGTCTTTTATGGTCACTTCTGAATTGGATTCTCTAGCCAAGTCACTCATTATAAGTTTTGAACTTGAACAAGGACATAATTCATTGGCATCTCAGACCATTTGTATGCAAAATACCAAGACTGAAGAAAAACAGCTTGAAACTGGTGAATCTACTTGGAAACAGAAAGGAGTTCCAAAATGCGAATATAAACTTCAGCCTTCAGCTACAAGTTCAGGGAAACTTTCACCCAGTGGGATACAGTGGGTATAAAATTAAGGCATTAAATATAGTAGATTCCTGAATGTAGGAAAAAGTAAACATTATGGGCTATTTTTTTAATGAAAGAGAGACAAGGAGGGCATGTCAGTCTTTTTTAATTTTAGAAGGAAAAATAATATATTGCAGAAGGTTGAAATTTGTTGGTAATTTTATCATGAGCATGGACAGTGTTGTGTGAAAGTAAAGGACTTGAGGTACAAGAAGATATGGTACACTGAATTGCACAGGAACAAATGTAAATCCAGAAGACTTTACATGAGACTTACACTTAAGAAAATTACAGATGCGTGAGTATTTTTATTCAAACCTATATCTAACTGTAGTAAATTATAGAGCAACATACAAGAAGTAACCAGACAGTGAGTTAAAATCTAGTCCAAGAATAATATGTAAATACAAAAAATTATTGAGAAAAGCTAGGAAATTCAGTGTTAAAAATGGGCACTTTATCCTCCATTCATAATGTAGCCTCACTTTAATGCATGATGATTTATTAAGGGTGCAGTGTCATCCTTACCACTATGTTTCCTGGCTTTTTTATTTTTGGTTTGCCAGCTTTAATATTTTTGAGAGAGGTTTTTGGTATCTGTTTTCTTAGGACAGAATTGAAAGGCTACAAAAATTATTGGGTAAACACACATTTAAGGGGATAATTTGTATAGGTTTATAATCCCTTGGGGTAAGGGGGGGGTTACAGACCTAAGATAACATTAATGCAGATTGACTATAATGATTCATGTTGCAAATTTTATATAGCAAAAAACAATTTTCCTTGATTTTAAATATTTTTTAGTGCTATGCATAGAAGTTTAGAGGCATAACACTTTTAAAATATACAAATAAGTCACCATGTGAGGCACTTGAGAATTATGTTAACATGCAGCCTACACTTAATATGTTCATACGGAAATCTTAAGGCCAGGTTGAGCCTAGCTCTTTGCAGGTGCACAAAGGAGAGGGAAGGATACAAGGCATCTTTCCCAGAACCTCATGCTCCTGCATAGGTACAGGGCAGAATCTGAGACCTCAGGGAAAGCAAGGACTCTGGGTGAAATCCTGGTTCCATTGACTTCAGTGGGGCCAGGGTCTTTCCCTCTCAGTCCAATGCTGGCAATGGGCTTACCAAATTGGGTGAGGACATGGCCATCTTCTCCTCTACACCAGTCACTAGACTAGCCCACTGCATCCCAAGTGATATTGGCTGTTTCTGGGAGCTTTGGCTAGCCACAGTCTGGCCCCAGTTGTACTAATGTTGAAAGATTTATAAGAATATCTTGGTGACTGGTTTACAGAACACTTATTATAATATTTACTTCCGTGTTCCTTTGTGAAATACACTCAGCTGTGATTCTCTGCAAGGATAAAAGCAGATACCTTTGAGACTATTTCATTTTTTCTGTTCCTGTATAATAGCTAGAGTAATAAAAGCAAACATGTGGACCAAATCTAGGCTACAATGTGTCAAATTGATAAGCAGCTTTTCCCCTTTCCACACCCCTTTTGAGTTGGCTGTAGTTTAAAAAGGCTACGATACTTCTAGGTAGAGCTAATGATTGCTGTGAAAATTAAGAATAATGGTGCATTTGAGAAGTGTTTGTTCTTGAACACTGGGAACTGAGAGATCATAACACATGTTCTAATCAGAGCACCTGATTTGCTCAGTGGTGTTGTCCATCCTAGTAACGAGTGACATTTAGTGCCTATTATCAAACCTTTCAACCAAGTATTTAGGGATAGCATGTTTCTTGATAGTGTGTTTTTTGTCCCCTCCCCCCCCTTTTGGAATGTAAAACTTCCTCTCAAAGATAAAGTTACCTCTCTCGATTAAATTCAGTCACCAGATCAATGCCATTTTTGTTTTGTTCCTTTCTCAGCATTTCACTTGGTCTTGTTAGTCAAGTAATAAAGTCTGAGTACAGCAGAAATGATCCCCATTGAAGTGATATAAGGGAACAAAAGGAGACAATAACAATATAAAAGTTTTCTCCTGTGACTTTAGTAATTGGATGTTAAGAATTATTATAGGATGAGGTTTTTGTATTTGGGAAGCTGTAGTTATATAATAAGCAAGTAAATATACAATATGCCAAAGACTATTTATTCCAGTAAAAGGAAAAAATACAGTCCTTTTGCAGTCATTTCTTGAAGTCCGCTTGAATGCAATAAAAGATCTGCAAAATGTGATTTGTACTGTATACTACAGCAACTAGAACACTAAGTGACCTGAAAAATTGGTTGTAAGTAAAGTGAGTAGAAAATCTGTTTTGTCAACTAGAAATTTTTGTTTTCCACAAATATATTAAATATTGTCCAAATATTTTGTGAACAGTAATTCAGTGATTTTGGCAAATACTGTATAAACTATATTTCTCTAGTCTTTGCTATTGGGGAAATAAAAGCTTTGCTTCAGTTTGTAATGCACATATAGTACTCTCCTTAAAATTAATATAATTTATCTTTTCCAGAAATGTTTTGCAGTGCAGTTATGTTTTGTCAATGTGTTTTTCAGAAACGTTGACAGAATATTTTTATTGCTAGTAGCATTTGTCATTGTATCACATAAAATGTGATATTGACTGAGTTAATCACTTTCCATTTTCATTGAGAAGAAATGTAAAAGTTTACTCATAGCTTGACATCATAATCTACTGTTAGGAACCTTTGTGTGGCTTTTAAAAATAATTAAAAAGTGGAATCCAACATATGTTTACACGTTCTGAAAAAGTGCTATTTTGTATTTGACTGAACTTTAAAAAATGTAATTTGCTGTTCAGAATCATGTACTGTGTATATAACTGTAAACTATTGTAAAGAGTAGAATCAGATTGTGTAACTGAGATAAAAATTGCCATAATTTAAGACACTTGTAAACATTGTATTAGTTTCCATTTTTATGGTTGCTTTGAGACCTACCTATGGTACACCTGCTGAGAACATAATAGTGTGTGTTACAAAAATCTGATAAAATATTTCACAGAAAGCTAAACAAATCAAATGTGTGGGGTGTTTTTTTTTTGGGGGGGAGGGTCTTTCACACTGAAACAAGTTTCTTTAGTTTTGTCTCTGTTAACACACAGTATTGTTACACAGATGCGGGTTGGGGAGACCGAGTTCAAAGTAATACTGTAAGTTAGTATATGATGAAATCAGATCTCAGTTCAACGTAACAATACACAAGCTTTCTACTTCCTGAGCCGAGATTGGTTGCTTTACTGTAGTCTCAAGTTCACATGGCAAAACCTTCCTGGAAGGTTTTCTATGGCACGTCTGGGAAGCTAATTAAATCCTTGTTTGTTTGACAACTCGATAATAGACTCCTTTATCCAGGAAAAGTTTCTTATCTTGTAAGAAATTCTATAGCTAGGACATGGCATTATGAGCACCCACAATTCCCACTAAAGTCAAGGGGAGCTACAAGTGCTTAGCATCTCTGAAAATCAGGTCCAGTATATCTGTACTGAAGTTACCCTTTTGCAGACCTAATACGCATCATTACTAAAATGCAGCCACCAATGGTCTGAGAGGGCAGCAGCTATGTAGACAACTGACACAGCAAACTTAGCTATGGAGGGGAAAGTGAAACTTTGGCCAATATGCTGATACCAGGCCAAAAAAAAAAGTACATTAGTGCTGTGTTCAGTTTTAGCCCATTATCTTAACTAAATCTCTTGTTACAGTTATACATCACCAAAGTGCTTTACTTTTAGGGTATATACTGCAATTATACTGTATGTCATCAGGGTGAACTAGTGTTCTCAGGACCTATTGCATTTATACATCAACAAGCTAGCTGTGACTCTAGTAATGTATTGGTGTAATATATCATCAGGGAGAGGAGTTTATGGTCAATCTATGGATGTTGAGGAGTTTGGATCCTGGCAGGCAGATTATGGGATGTACTGATATAGCTATCAATGGTGTCTTATTAAACGGCAGTAAACCTGGCGGTGGGTAAGGTTCAGGTCAAGAGAGATGTCGACATGGTGGATATGGGTATAGCCTGCCTGATATATCGCAGGAATAAAGTAGAGACTGATATTTTCTCCTTGGTTTCTGTGGTGCAGAAGGTAACGTAATGCACCAGGCCTTTGTAAGATCAGCTACATGTAAAGCAAAATAGGCATAGTTAGTCTTGCTTTTGTGATGTGCTGTACTGTGAGATCCCTGGCTGGGTTGGGCCTTGAATCTATCTGGCTAATCTTCTGTTTTTCTTTCTCAGCTCTGGGGGAGAGGGCAGAGGGACAGAGTAGTATATGAGAGAGAGTAAAATGAACAACTGTATCATCAGCTGGGAATATTGTTTGCAGTCTAGTGATACGGCTGCTTACATCTGCATCCTTATTGTCTTAACGTTCCCTGCTGGTTGCATGTAGATCACAAAACCACCATATAGTTTAATGGAGTTGCTTTTCTCTAGGTAGGCTCAATACTATGGGTGATGCAGATGAAGACAAAGAGGCACTATCAGAGCTGTGTGAGCAATCCTGCACCATGCTAATAGCCTGGTTCTAATGTGTACTGGTAGGTTCTCATTTTAAATATCACCAAATCCACATAGGCATGGGGTGAGGTTGACCACCCTGCAGTAGGCCCCTACAAGGCCCTGTGCATCACTTTTAAGAGTGTGTGGCATAAGTGGTGTATAAGGCCTTGTGTAGGCTGTTTGCTCAAGGGTGAATTTCACCCTTAATTTTTTTTTAAATTATACATGTCTATAGTACCCGGCCTAGCTGCAGATTATAAGACAATTGTTAATCAAGACTCACTCCTCCTCCTCCACCAAACACTATACGACTATGAAGGGCTTACTAGACTCACCCACGTGACACTGCACAGGGTATAATTGGGGAACTTAGTATCTCATATGTCCATGCATTAATAGTTTGAGTCCATTGTGGCAGAAAAAGGACAGGATGTGGCTGTAATGAATACAAAGATTATTTATTCCTGGTCCTATAGTTCTCCTTTAGGTTTGGAAATACAAAAGCAAAGTCTGTGCTGCCACATATTGGCACATACAGTGTCTTCCTAAATCATGGCCCGCACTCCACAGTCAGGGAAGACACTGCTATGTTCCTTGGATGCTAGCTAAAGAACCGCTAATATAAACAAAGGGGAGTTTTGTTTGTTTTTTGAATTTTGCACAGAAATGAGAAGTGGAGTATTCTTTTTGCAGGATTGTTTAGATTGCAATTTCTCTCAGCTTGAGATTGTAACTTTGCTCTTTTTATAATTCCGCTAGTGGTAATACTAGTACTTTCCCTTTAACTGCAAGAAAACCTTATTAAAATTACAGACCCTGACATCTTAGCTGGCAATAACATGACCCAAGCTGAGCTACAGCAAAAAGACATCAAGGGGACAAGTTCATCTCTGGTGTAACTTCAAAGAAATCAGGGGAGTTAAACCAATCATGATTATGGCCTACTGTACCTGAAAAGTCCACTTAAATTTTTTTGACATGTGGACTGTATTTCTGAAGTAGAGTGTTGTGATCTCTCAGATGATTCATTTTAGCTGGAAGAGAAATCAGAGCATGAACATCAGATTGGTTTCAAGTGCCTCAGTATCGTAAAATATTTTGCCTTTTCTCTGTAAAAGTACAACATGCAAACACATTTATAAAAAGACAGGTTATAATCACACCTTTTATAGGACACTCAGCAAAGTTTTCAAATT